AACAAATGTGAGAGATATTACGTAATGAAAGGAAATGATCTTTTTTCGCTTTTTGCTCTGTAGAGGACTCATCACAAGCAGAAATAATAGGTAAAATACTATGGTTAGATTGCACCATTTTGCATAACACGAACTGACCTAGTAATGTCGAAATTCCCACCACCAAATCCAAAACTCAATTCGTATCAGAAATAGGCTTCTGTTCGTCTGTTGAAATTTACATATAGGCTACTGAAGCTGATCCTTAAGAGTAAAAATTTATCCCTCTAATTGTTCTCTCCTGATGTAAACTTTGGAAAGGCGATAATTGTTTCTACAGTGATTTCCATAAAGGGCAGTGATTTTCGTACTTGTCTTGATTATCCTTGCTTTGTGTACTTGTTGCACCAAAAAGCATTCTTGGCCGATTTTAACTAAAAGTACTTTGGTTAAGGTTTGAAATTTTTGCTAAACTTTGTCCTGTGGAACGCTTTTTACTCATTGACTGACACTCGTGTTCACATTGTGACCATATTGTGTCTTAAACCTTTTTAATCAAAATACAATGGTTAGTAAGACTTATAAATGTGGACAACCAAACTGCTTGTTCCCCGTTGAGGAAGGAATGCAGTGCGATGAATGTAAAAAGTGGCTCCATGAGATGTGTACACGTCCAAGTCCTACGGCATACAAAAGATACTCGAAGCCTAACTCGTATTGGCTTTGTATGCTTTGCTGTGCAAATAAGAAGTTACTAATTAAGGAGGCTATGAGCCTATTGGCTTTGGCCTGTAAGAAAAACGATGGTGGTTGCGCTGGTAACATAAGCACTGACGGTGAAGAATGTGCCAGTGTAGTACGTGCCGCTACCGGACCCGCTAAACACCCGACTGTGATTGGCGAGAAAGTGAAATCTCCGTTAACATCAACGAGGAGTGAAGTGCCGCTTGATATTGACATCGGTAATCATACACCTCTAGTGGAAGTTGAAGACCAGGATAAAACTGTCACTGTTCCAAATAGTCCCGGTGTGGCTGTCCTGAGTGATGATAAATGAACTTCAGTACGGAGAAGAAGAAATGAGAAAAGAGCTGTAAGCAAAACGCAGCTGGTTAGCAAGTCATTGAAAGAGACAGTAACAGAAACAAAAACTCTACCACGTGTCAAGACAGATCTCTCTGAGAGGTCAGCCATTTTTCGTAAGTTAAGAGAATCTCCCGATTAAGAACCAAAGGCTAGATTTGAACATAATCTCAGTCATATTAAGTCCTTAATAAGCAAACTACTTCCAGATACAGTTTCAGGAGTTAGTATTTGTAAGCTTTATAGAATACGACAAAAGGTGGAGTCTGAAAGTCCTCAGAAAAACCGTCTCTTGAAGGCTACATTCAACACGGTGGAAGAAAGGAGCCTGATTCTAGTAACTCCCGTAAACTGATTGGATCCGGAATATGCGTCCGTGAGGATCTCAGCCTAGCTGATCGTATTAAGAGACGAGGTGTGGGAGCGGAAATAAATGAGCGTCGCCGAAACGGTGGAAGAAACCTCGTTCTTAAGGGTTTTCAAATTGCAAAAGTTCGGGGCAAAACGATCCCCAAGCCAATCTGGGTGGCAAGGGAAAGTTCTCCACAGACTTAAAGGTTTGCTACACAAATGCTCACAGCCTACTAAATCAAATGGCGGAGTTCAAGTCAATGGTAGATAAAGAAAAACCAGATGTTATTGCTGTCTCGGAAACTTCGGTAACGTCAGAAGTATTAGATAATGAAGTTCAGTTGACTGGTTTCTTAACCAGCACGGCTGATAGATTAAACTGTAGGGGAGGCGGGGTTATCCTGTACACGAAAAGTTCCCTAACCATAAGAGTAGCTGAGACTGTGACACATGTTTCAGGGACATGTGAACTGGTGAGATGTAAGTTGAAATGCCGACGGCAAGATATTGAATTAGTTGTAGTATATCGCAGTCCAGAATGTGTAGCAGGTGATTTTCTCCTAAGTAAACTTAAGTCCTGGTGTAACAAGAGTAAAAGCCTCGTAGTAGGTGACTTTGATGCACCGTATGTAAACTGGGTTAGTTTAGAATTAGGGTCATTGATAACGTCGTTCGACTGCCAACTGTTAGACACCTCGATTGGATTAGCTGTATTCCAACACATTAGAAACCCCACGAGATATGACCTGAGAAACTCTTCTTCTCTTTTGGATTTAGTCTTCACACACGGTGATGACGTTGGTCAAATGACTTTTCTCCCACCATTAGGGAGAAGTAACCATGCAGTCATCTTATTCAAATTCATGACTGAGATTGCCTGTCAAACAGTTGCGCCGGCCCGTCCTGATATACGGAAGGCAGATATGGAGGCAATCAACTCCGCAGCATCGGCTGAAATCTAGGAAATTGACTCAAATGCATCAGTACAAGAGGCATGGACTCTTTTCAGGCAGTTATACAATCGGGTAACTCAACCATACATACCCTGGACTGTCCCAAAGAAAAAGAAGCGCGGATATCCATGGATAGGGCGGGATATTCGACGTTTACTGAGACAAAAGAAGGAATGTTGGGATGTTGCCATCCGCCTTGGCACAGCAAGTACTATGGAACGCTACAGATCGATAAGAAACGAGTGCATAACGGAAATTCGGGAAGTTCAAAGAAAATATGAAATGCAGTTTGCATAATCTGCACTCAAGCAGCCCAAGAGAATATTCTCGCACATAAACTACAGAACAAGGATGCATCACTGGATTCCCAACCTAATTAAAGTAGGAAGTGAATCTGAAATGATATAGGAAGATCAGGAAAAAGCAGAAGCTATGGCTGACTATTTGGGGCAGCTTTCACTCAGGAACCCACTCTAGACAAAGAACCAAACCAAAACAGAGTCAACAAACCACCTGCTCGCCGTTGACTTCGATCAAGACGATTTGCTTATGGCTCTTAGCACCTTAAACATGGAAAAGCCGACAGGGCCAGATGAACTACACCCCAAAATTTTGAGATATATTGCATAATATATCGTGGCCCACTGACTGTGATATTCAATATGTCACTTGAGCAAGGTGTGTTACCTATGGACTGAAAGGACTCAATCGTCACCCCCACACATAAAACAGGACCAAGACAAGTTTAATCGAACCACATACCTGTAAGCCTCACCAGTGTTGTAGTTAAAATATTGGAATGGATAGTCAAACGGACAATAATGGCATTTATGGAAACCAATAACTTGCTAAACATAGAACAACGTGGTTTTAGAAAGGGTCTGTCTCGTGCAGCGAACCTCCTTATAGCATGGGAGTTTTGGATAAAGGCGCTAGACAACGGAAATTCAGTGGATGTTGTCTACATAGACTTCAGTAAGGCTTTTGACAAGGTGCTAACTAATAGACTACTATCGAAGTTGGAAAACCCTGGTATTGCCGGACCTCTTTTAAAATGGATTAAGGATTTCCTAGTAGGTCGTAGACAGAAAGTAAGAATAAATTCCAAGTTCTCCATTTTGAGACCAGTACTTAGTGGATTACCTCAAGGTTCCGTCCTAGGTCCTCTAATTTTTATAATGTATGTCAATGATCTCTCAAGTATAGTACAGTCTCAAATGTTATTATACGCTGACAACGTTAAGATCTGTCGAGTAATAACTGAAGACTTAGACGCAGGTGCTCTTCAGGCAGACTTAAATAATATGATTGACTGGTCTAAAGAGTGGCTGACGCCTATAAACGCGGCAAAGTGTGCCTACATGCACTTTGGGGATTAAAAGATTAATAGGCACAACATAGGGGAAGTGCTATTACCCGTGGTCCGGTCTCATAAGGATCTAGGGGTGACAGTGATCCATGATCTTAAGACGACAGCCCATTGCCGGGAGGTAGGCGCTAAAGGGTTTCGAACCCTCTGGGCTTTAAAACGGGCATTCGCCAAGTTAGATATTACCATGTTCACCACAGTATACACATCCTTAGTGAGAACTAAGCTTGAGAACTGCGTTCAGGCTGCAAGCCCCGGTCTAAAAGGTGACTCGGATATCCTTGTAAAAGTACAGAGGGCAGCTACCCGTGCAATTCCAGTACTCCGGGGTTTACCATACAAAGGGCGGTTTGAAAAGCTGAACCTCTATACTCCGTTCCATCTCAGATTAAGGAGAGATCTAATTTTTTAATAAACGGAATACACCCATTATGACATTAATTTTGATGTACAGAATACTGAGAAATGATTTTGAACCTAACTTATTCTCTCTCCTTCTTCCCACTAGATCGGGACACCTCAGAGGACATAGCAGGCGAGCAGAAAAGCCATGAACGAGCAAACTACCCATGGCATACAGGTTTTCACACAGTGTCATCAATACTTGGAACCTGCTGCTTGAAGCAGTGGTGTCCACACCTTCAATTGACTCATTCAAGAGAAGACTGGACACTCACAGAAGCATGCTAGAAAAGGAATAACATAGGTCGTAGGCCTTCTGTCTTTACTACACAAATGTGAATCTGAAAACGCCCAGAACTGGAAATAACATAGCAGAACGGACTGTATACATACCTTCTACTCCTTAAGAGTTGTCAAATGCTGGAACTCGCTGCAGGCTGAGCTAGTTCAAACGACTTCCCAAGAGCCCTTAAAAAGGAAACTTGACATATTCTTGAGGGCTAAGGATAGTATGTTGCCATGATCTACGAACATTTTTTTCTTTTCGTCTTTTATCCATAAAATACCTAGGTTCCTGCCTGGAGGTGTCGTTGATCCACTGCTACTAGATACAGAAGCACGTTAAGAGTAAGTTTCTACTATTCCATCCAAAAGCATTTGAACCATTCAAATAACCTAATAAAGCTCTCTGAGCTAAGATCATGTGTAGTATTTGAACTATTTACCCTCACCCGGCGGTGGAAGATAAATCAATGCGGTGACAAGGTCATAAAGTGGTGCGTTGCTCAAACAGTGCTCAGCTGAAGGGTTTCCATCGTCTTATGGGACAAACGAAAGTCGTCCATAAATTATAGTCTCACCCAATTTTTCTCCTACAAACCTCTGAGTAAGATGGAATACTTTCCTGTCAGTGTTGTGAATTGTCAAAAAACCTTTCACCTGACAAGATCAAATGATACCTTTAGGTCAAGAATATAAGCGAAGCCAGACAACAGCAAAAAGTTGTTTTATAAAACGACAAAGAATAAAAGTCTGGGCCACACTCAGACCATAAATGTATTTTTGATTTCCTGGGATTTACTATTCTACAGCAAATAATTAGTTATAGCAGATAGCGTCTCGGGCATTAGTTTATTTAAGCTCATTTTTTTAGTGGTTATCACAAGACGAAATTTCTTGTACTAATTAAAATAAACAGCAGTTTTGAGGTCGTCTATTCTCCATACTTTCAATCATGCTGCAATCAGTGCAACTGACAAGCTGCTATCACCAATTCGAAATATCTGAACGGTCGGCCTACCAATGTCTGTCGCACTTACCCCACTCCTCAAGGTCTTTATAGCTGGTACATCGGAGTACTCAGAAATCAGCAAAATAATAATTGCGTGTAATCACACAAGAAATAGCCTTCATCTCTAATTGGTAAGGTATAATGTGCACACACATGGTCTACTTAATAAGCTTCCTTCTTATTCAAACTTTTCACTCAAGCAGCCGGTTGTGCGAGTTTATAGTAAGACTTTGTATCAATAACAACAGGTAAGTCACATTACCAAAAAATTGTTGAGACAGCAAGCTCACGAACAGAGAAATTTGATGTAGCCATTACTCGTTCTCAATAAGAAGGTTGACAGGAGTTCCTACAAAGCAAATGTCAATCGCCCCCCACTGCACGCACAAACTTTGTGACGCCCCGAAGTCCAACCATTGAACTAGACCCCGCGTACTCCTATGGTTGTATTATCGGTCCGGTTATCACCTGGGGCAATCTAGGGGGAAATAAATAACAAACATGGAGTCGGAGATCGGATAAACATATTTAGTGCTTGGATGTTAGTGTCTCGCCAATTCTCATAAATATAGTTTTAAGTGGAATAAACCTATTTTCGGTACACAGTAACTGTATTGATAGGATCCAAATTAATACAATTAGGGTCACCGCTCTAATTCACCGATACTCTGCCATGTAAATCTGTATCAGCATCATTGAAACCACTTTAGTACTTAAACTCAGCTAAAATAAGTCAGTGTATCAACATAAATCTACAACCTTTCGGAAACCCAATTGGTAACGTTTTTATCGTCTGAATGAGACGAAATGCACTTTCAGGTCCAGGGTGTGCATAAAGGAAGATCATTTTTAAACATGATAAATGGAACGTGGAATATTTAGTGGACCAGTGTTGACTGCTTCCTCTACAACATGAAAAACCCGGCTGAAGGAATAGATTTACTACCCCAACCCTTATCGCTGATATATATATGCCTCATCGATTAGAAATGAAAGCTATATCTTGTGTGGTCACATCCACTTATTATTTTGTTAATTTATGATTACTCCGATATATCACCTTTTCCCGCAGAAAACTGGGTCTGACTCATCGGATTTTAGCTTAAGGCTCTGTAATTGGTGGGAGAGTTACATTAATAGCCCTTTCATTTTTGAGAAGTGTTAGTGGTGTGATGTTAATCGTCAGCTGAGACCTAGTGAATGATAGGTGATTGAAGGGTAGCTGGGTTTTTTTTAATTAACCCACCATGTTCAAATTATTAGGCTTAAAAATGATAATTCTTTTATTTCGTTGAGGTGTTTCTACTCACAAGAAAGTAAAATAGGCAAGCAAACCAGGAAATATTTAAGTTTGCGGTACTATTTTGGTTCAAATGGAAACACTTTAACCGTATAAGAGTCAGGAAGTGAGATGTAGTAAAGTGTTTATAAAGTAGTAGTGTTGAAGATTTATTTCAGGCTGTATATCGACAGCTGGTAAGCTTGAAGTTACAAACTTGACAAAAAACATAAATCAGCGACATAGAACCTCGTCAAATAAATTTAGTTTCATTCGACTATAGGATCTTTCAAAACATTCATAAGTCTTTCTCTTGTGAACTGTGAAAATTAGATTATAAATTCTGGAGAATGCCATTTCTGAAGGGTGGACGTGCTGCGGTGACAAGGACTAAAAAGTACTTAGAAGCTGGACGAATACTTCTGAATGATGGTGTCAAGATTATTGTCATCAATCATGTCCCCGGAGCAGAAATATCACATGGATGTGATGAGTTCATTAAGTGGCATTTACCTCCTTTACAATTCAGAAATCCAAACGTTCAGGTAATCATTTAATTCGCATTTCTAACTCACCAGATAATTACTTTCAAAAACATGTGTCCGACTCCATTTATTAAAATTTATCTTGAAAAAAACGAAGAACAAGTGGTGAATTGTGCCTTTCGAAAGAATTCCGATATCTATGATCACCTAATTACACTTCTTGGGAAGACTGCTTCATCTGAGAGTTCCTTAGTGAATGATTTGACTACGAAAAACCCATCAAGTTTTGGCACAGAGTAATTTTAAATCTAAAAAATCTAACAATTTCTTATTCAACTGTAGGTTCCCGCGCCAATGTATATGCGAATTATACGGTCAAATGCCTTGCTCGTCTAATATTGGGAAACCGAAGCTATGGCCAAAGTTGGAATATACATTGCCTCCGGTGGATACAGAATGGTTTAAAAACGCGACGGATACTAGTGTTACAAATGATGGATAGTCGCTCAGTGTGCGTACATCTGCAACACGTCATTACTCTGTTTCATCTTGTGCCGTTCTTCCTCTTTCTAAAGTATAACATTTAGTACAATTTCTCAGAACATTGGATTTCTTACAAGTCCACGCTATTAAAAATATCTTGTAAGACTATGCAACTATTATCGTTTTAGGCATCTTAGCTATGTAGTTACAAGGACCCAAGCCTATTTAAATAGATCCAAAAAACTAATTCCGACAGAATAATAAGTCTTTCAACAATAAATTAGTTTGACTTCAGTCCTATGAATTCGCTATATTTGAACAACGTGGCTTCTAAATCTTTTAGTTCTCATTTTTTTATTCGTAAGATTCGCCTATGTATTCTGACACAATTACCGTTGTTTGACTTACTATCAATAAGTATTTTGTCGATCTTCCTATCAACTATCATGTAATCCTGTTGTTTTGTGGGGCTAAGTTCTGTCTTGTGTTGCTACCGAATAAGTTTTCCCGATCAAATGTCTTTAGCAATTACATTATTATTTGTTGGTAAGTAGGAATTTTTAGCAGTCCAATAAAAAGTGGAAACGCATCCCTACACTAATGACAACATTAACATCTACCTGTAAATTTCAAACAGGACAATTACCAGTACTCCACTTCCAATTAAATCAATAGCTTAAAGACTGTTCACCAATGTGATCTCTATGTAACCATTGAGAAGGCTGGTCGATTTAAAAAGATTATATTCTCATCACATACTTTTGTAATTAGTTGTTATTAAATATCTTTTTGATATAAAAGTGAAATGTCAGTTTGCGAAATTGCGCCACTTTACGTATTTGAATCTCAAAGTATGATTTGGATTCCTCGTATGACGAACAGCCCGAGAATCGCTATAAAGCCTGCACTAACTTCTTAATTGCTTAGCACACGCCATAATTTTGCGTAGTTTACGTTGGCATCTGAACCACAGGAATAAGTAAACTTAGCAAAGAGAAATTTTGTCTTAGGACTAAATACATCCTCGGAATGGTACCTCAAGTGATAAATTTGAACAAAGTAGGAGGCATTTACAGAATGAAATGAACTTCAAAGCGTATGAGTTGCCTGTTGGAATACACTTATTCGAAGCAAACTCTTAACTACAAGTTTAAGTATTAATAGAGAGATGCTATGCTATGTGTACTCCTACTGTTAAAACTCTGGATAGGTCAACAACCTCAATGGACCTTTTGTATTTAAATTCACAAAACCACTAAGTATTGTCGCGCCAAATCAAAATAAATTAACTGTCTTTAACATCACTTCTAACGTGTTTGGAACGTATTTCTCTACCAAATACAAACTGTCGCTTCAGAGGCGACCAGCGTAAACTCCTTGACTAATGATACGGGATGAATTAGTTGAGCATGTTGATCACTTTGGAAGCTTCGTCAGCCCTGTAAGTCTGACGAGATCTCAAGACAACTTTCGAGGGCTCGGTCGGTTCTTGCCAACTTGTGGTGCAGACCAGAAGTCTGTTCGGAAAGTGAAAGGACGAGCATACTACGAAGTGTTATGAAGCTTTTCAAATCCTTGTTGACATTCATAACTTATTAGTGTCCCGTCATTGGTGTATTCAAGCACTGATCGTATATTTTGGAACCATCAAGTTCAGGAGTAGAGGATTAGATAGTCATAGAAAATCGATTGATAATGTAATGAATGTTCATAAGTTGAGATGGTTAGGATATGTATTACGCATGCCAGCCCACCAACTGCATCGACGCGCGATGGCTGGTGTAGGTGTTTGGAAGGAGGCGGCTAAATCAAGACTCGGCGCCCTTGGTATAGTCCAAAGAATGTGGGGTACGGTAACCTTTAAGTATAAATTTCAGAATGCGTCCCAAGCCGTTTCAATTGAGGACTTATAGCGACTCACGTGCAATTGAGTTTATTCTCATTTAACTCAGTTAAGCCCTTTTGCTAATTTATTTAGCGGACAAAGTCACCCGCACTAGAACAACTTATTGTACTTTTATTATTATTGTACTTGTATGAAATATGTATACTTGGACATAGTTTACCGCCTACGCATATATTCATTCTGCCAACTTCATTATTAACTGCTTAATCTATTCATTGACTCATCCATTTCCCTATATATATATATATATATATATATATATATATATATATATATATATATATATACTTTTACACTCACTACTGCTACTACTACTATCGCAGTTCGCTTACTCATTCGTTTTGCCTCTCTGCTGTGTGGTCCGAATTATCTGCTAATAAACTGTAGTAGCTGCTTCCTTTTACCTTCTGATTTCAAACACCGTTAAAGATTATATGGTAACGGTACGAGGGTGATTAGTTATCGAAGCACAGCCACTACAGACTCTGGGTCTGTTGTCCAATCTTCTGATGATGCTGAGTACATGATATCTGGTATGCTTGCTTTCCAGACGTTAGGTCTGGATTGGGTTGACGCGTGCTGGTGATTGACAGTTATATGGAAGTCAAAAGTTAAATGTGCGCTATCACCTTTACCTATGGGTGGAATTTAATGAAGGTTCGCGACGTCATCCTTATAGTGAGCCAATATAAGATCTAGTAAGGATGATTCAGTGTCCGCGTCGTACCTAGTCGCTTATTTTACTTGTTGCACTAGGGCACATGTGATAACCGCACCAACTAGTTCCTCCTCGAAGGAATTTTCTGACGGTTCAGTTCGCAGATTTTCCCAGTCTACCATAGGTACATTAAATTCCTCTAGGATTAGACATCGACCACTTTGTGACGAAGTATTGAGACTGCTTAGCAGGACCTCATTTACCTTACAGCTTGGACTGCGATAGACCAAACCAATCAGCAGCTCTTGTCCCTTGGATTTCAAGAGGTAACTAACCAATTCTCACGTCCCACTCTCATGGGATACACTGTTGATAATGACAAATGGGATAGCATTCCTAACGAATAGAGCTACTCCCCCTCTACGCTTTTGTATTCTGTCGGCCCTTACTAACGTAAAACCCTCGAAATCATGTTCCATACTGTCTATAGACTGTATCAGCCAGGTTTCTGTGGCTGCGATTATGTCTTGCTTCGTAGAGTCAATCTGTACACCTAGTTCCGATCGCTTATTGAGTAAGCTTCGGGTATTAGTGTAACAGATCCGAAGCCTATTTAAGTGGCTTCATGCTTCACCCAGAGTGGCTTCGGCATCATTCTCTGTCGAGGCCTTACAACCCGAAAATTTACATTTTTTATGTCTTTTTCGCCAGCGTCTAACCTAATTCGTAGTTCTTGCTCGGCTTTCCGTCTTTTTACGCGGTCTGTCAACGACAAGTCCTTACGGATAAAAACTCCCGAACCCTTTAGTTTATGTCCTTTATGCAAAGTTAAGTCGCGTTCATTCGAAGATTTGAATACTACTTTAAGCAGTCTGGGTTGATTAGGCTTCAAGTTCGCTTGAATATCTAGTCTGTACACCTTAAGCAAGGTGACTCCGAGGATATTTTCAGGCATAAGTTGGTTAAGTAGCTGTTTTATCAGCACAATGTCATGTTCAAAACGAGTTTTTGGTTCAGAGCTCTCACTCTCCTTGATTCTGTGAAAAATAACTGATCTGTCACTGTGATCATCCTTCGATTTTTCGACTACTTTTATGGGGGCAGGATTCCCTTTTATATCGCTATGTTGTTTCTTCCTTACATCATGTATCCATTCGCCAACGTTGGTAGGAGAAGCAACCACAGTTGCGTAAAACCTACTGTGGGATTTCTGAGGGTTGTCGACGATTTGGGAGGTCAGGTTATGTTTCCCGCTAGAAACCGATCGGCCCCCAAGTACCGTGGTATGGCCGAGAGTGGGGTGGGACGCCCCCCTCTCGAAATGCTCTAACACGGCCATGCGTATACAGGCTCTGCCAGGGAAGTCCTACTTACTGCCGTCTCGTGGCGGGGGTGTTGTTTATGAAAATGAGAGGACGAAAAGCAAATGTCCGGTGCTTTAACCGGATCCCGAACCAATGGTGCACATGGGCTCCAGTATCCTTCTGGAACAAATGGCGTATGAACCAATCGTTGGTCACCGTCTACCATGGGACTGCATCTCCTTACGTTGCTCCACTGTCTTATGGATTAGACTTTATTCTCGCTTCGGTTTACAGTCAAACAATTCACGTTATTATTATTATTATTTACCATGTCATTTATTCACTCTCTTTTATTCCCATTTTATGTATCCTTACTTTTCCACTTATACAGGAGCTCGCCTATGGTGGAAACTCGGTCCTATCTAAACGTTCTCGAGTCACTGCCTAGTTGAAAATTTTATGCTACCACCAAATACGAATACTAAAGCAGTTTTTCTGAAACCACGTGCACCATTCAAACTGGCTGTCTTCAATGTTCGCACACTTATGCAGGTCGGACAACAGACAGGGCTGGCTATGTCTTTGGAAAGTCTTAATATCGACGTTTGTTGTCTATCCGAGAAAGATTGACTCGCGAGGAGCAGACTTGCTTTCGTTCTAGTGGAGGATCATATCTTCATCCTCTCTCAAATGTTAGAACACCGTCATATTTATCAAAGGCCAACAATCGTAGTGTTTCTTGGTGTTAGAGCTGCCATCGATTCGTCGAACAAGACTGTTCTCTGGGATTGTCTATTGAAGAAGGGTGTGCCTGAGAAGTTTATTAACATCTTGAGAGCCCTATATAATACAAACACCTCAGGCAGAGTGAGGGCATACAACCACCTCTCTCTATTGTTCCATTCGAGCAGTGGGGTTAGACAGGGCTGCCCAATCTCACCATTCCTCTTCAATTTTGGCACCAATGACGTTCTGAAAACAGCTCTGTAAGCAATGGTGGTGAGGATTTTTTGCCTGGAGAAAGACTTCTCGACCTTGAGTATGCGGACGATATTGTCTTACTGTGCGATAATGCCCAAGGCATGCAATCCGCACTTAATCAGTTGACAATCAGTGTCCGTAGGTATGGTATGTGCTTCGCACCTTCGAAGTGCAAAGTACTTCTACAAGACTGGCAGGATTCCAATCCTGTACTCACCCTGGGTGGTGAGCAGATAGAAGTAGTCGAGAAGTTGGTGTATCTGGGTAGCTGCATAAGTGCTGGTGGTGGTGTGAGTGATGAGATCAATGCACGTGTAGTGAAAGCCAGAGCGGCTTATGCCAATCTGGGCCATCTTTGGCGCCTTCGTGATGTTAGTCTGGCTGTAAAAGGTCGGATCTACAACGCATCGGTGAGAGCAGTTCTACTCTATACTCGTGAAACCTGGCCTCTCCGAGTTGAGGATGTTAGACGACTCTCTGTGTTTGATCATCGCTGCACCTTTGAAGTGCAAAGTACTTCTACAAGACTGGCAGGATTCTAATCCTGTCAGTCAGTAACAACGTAGATCTTCGTACGTATGTACATCAGTTGGAGTTGCCACACCACATTAGCACAGAGATGCAGTTGTCGATCCAAATCCCGTAGTGGTAGAGGTAATAAGAGTGTAAGCAGTAATCGGGAAGATTAAGGTTTGGAGATGTTATTTAAAGAGTATAATCCAGTGAAATAAATTTGGAAAGAGGAAAAAAGGGACATGAAGAATTCAGAAGATTAGAATTTGGGAGAACACAGAGTGGATGCACCTGTGCCATTGCAAACGATTTTGAGCCATGTCATTCAGGGTCTCTAACCATCGGTTGCTATCATCTCGTGGTCCCCAACCAGGTAGTCTACACCTACCAACATGACTCAGTCCACTTGTCAGTGACTTCATGGACTTGTGCCATGTTTTGGTTTGACCGCCTGTACTCACCCTGGATGGTGACCAGATAGAAGTCGTCGAAAAGTTGGTGTATCCAGGTAGCTGCATAAGTGCTGGTGTTGGCATGGGTGATGAGATCAATGCACGTATAGTGAAAGCCAGAGCGGCTTATGCCAATCTGGGCCATCTTTGGCGCCTTCGTGATGTTAGTCTGGCTGTAAAAGGTCGGATCTACAACGCATCGGTGAGAGCAGTTCTACTCTATACTCGTGAAACCTGGCCTCTCCGAGTTGAGGATGTTAGACGACTCTCTGTGTTTGATCATCGTTGTCTCCGAAGGATTGGTGACATTCAGTGGCAACACCATGTCAGTAATGCAGAGGTTCGGCATCGTGTGTTCGGGCACAGAGATGATAATTCAATTGGTGTCACCATCTTGAATCATCGACCTCGGTGGCTAGGACATGTTCTACGAATGTCGTCCCAGAGAATTCCACGTCGTGCATTATTTGCCGATGCTGGGACGGATTGGGAAATAGCGGAGAGGTGGTCAGTGCATGACATGGTGTCGTGGTATGAAAGAAAGCTCCAAAGGACTGGCTTCTGTCGGTCCTTCACGGCTCCCTGGTTGGGGTCCTAGAGATGGTGCAACACAGTGGCTAGAGACGTTATCAGACATGGCTCAGAATAGAAGCCAATGGTGATCCTGCTGTAACCTTTCCGTTTCCCCCATTATTACTATTATTATTACACTACCATACACTAATCTGTGGTCGTTATTGTCATTTTTGACGCGCACTTTACATTCTTAATCTGTTCCCATTCTCATTATTGTGTGGCGCATAAGTATCTGGTGCCCCCTTGTACCAATAAATAAGTAAATTTAGATAATGGGATAATTACCCATATAAATAAGATATGGGTTTTCACGTCTGGCCATGAATGAAGTGAAACAAATGATTCATCAACCGTAGAATTTTGTGAATTCAGCTTAAGTCTCTTTTCTCAATATATTTTCACCTTAGTTTTAGTGCATGACGCGGATAACTGATGTTTTGGTATACAAATTTAACCTCTGGATATAAAAGAAGTTCAATGTTTAAAATCAGCTTACATTCATGAGTACATCCTAAGGGTTGACTAATATTTTTTAGATGAACTATAATTCGAAAATGTCTGACCCATGTTTGAGATACATGAATGAATAGTGCTCAATGAACCTTAGCACACTTAGGTTTGCAAAATGTCATAGTATTTATAGATTCGCGTCCAAACCTAGTTGATACAAACTCAGATTGAAGTAGGGAAACAAGTCACAAAGCTTATTCCGCAAAATATCCACGAGTACCAAGCTTGTATGTGACATTAAAAATGAAGAAACTGGTCTATACAATTCATTTGCTAAAAAGGTTTTAGTTTTATTACTTATATTACACAAACTAATTTGCGATATGAATTTGATTTTGCTTCAACTTTTGCAATTGATCTTTTAGTCGAATAATAAGGGCTGGAAGCCCCTTTGATAGTTGATTGTCCACGCATTTTTGGGAACATGCTAGTATTTCACGTTGAGCATTCTTCAGCTGTGACTCAGTTGCATTTGAAGGTAACTTGTCCCGCGCTTGATTGGCGCACTCAGAAGCACACAGTTGTAATCTTGCCTAAGCAATAAAAACTTTTTAATGTGAATCATATTACCTGCTTCAAATTACTAAATAAATCTAATCAAGCCTATTTACCAAATATTTTAATACACTATGTGGAAGTAAAAACATTAAAAGCAACCACTGATATCGTTTTGAGTCCACCAAAACCAAGGATGTATAAGAGATATTTGGGAAAAGACACATTAAAGGATTCAATTACAAACTGTTTAAACAAAAAAGACAATATAAAAGATAGGATCTACCATGAAGATACATGTGTATTTTTTGTATACTGAAGTCAAGCTTTCTATCATGGATACCCAAAGCTTTTAACGCTCTAAGCTGTTGCAGCTAGAGGAAATTTAAAAAACGTGTGTGAAAACTAACGTCGATATACGAGTTAGTTTGATGGTCAAACTCACTTGCAACCAATAATAAAACTTCTAACCTCTTTGCTCCCATTTTTGAAAACTAAGGTGGGTTTTACACTTGCTGAAAGTGTGCTGACTTCAATTAATGTACGTTGTTGCACAGGAAAAGATAGATGCAAGATAAACAATCTTATCTCTCAACCACACATAAACGTTTGAAGCTTATTGGGGTTTGCCAAAATACAGGTGAAAATTATGTGCTTCTAAACCCTTTTCTTAAACAGACGGCTCATAGGCACTATTTGTTTGATCTTGTATAAATTGAAAGTTTACAGGAACTATTTAGAGACTGAATTTTAGAGCTTGAATGTTCACACGTCTAGACAATCCAGCGAGATTAAGTTTGTCATTAAGATGTAATAAATAAGCGCAATGTGTTTAAAACAATCTGATTATATAGATTAATCAAAACTCAGAGTCGTCTGTGGAGAACACTTAGGTTTGCTGAAACCTTAGTAATAAAAAGATGAAAATCCCCCTGTCGTCGAGAACAATATGTACTTACGCTAAACCTATACTCGTAGCATCGGTTTACTCTTGTATGATTTATATGATTTTTCTGATGCTCTAGTTTAATTTTTAATTCTCATACAAACATTTTCACAGGTTATTATGTGATCGAATTGTTCAAAATATCCTGTACCGATAGAGAACATAGTTCTGACGAAATGTAACTTTGTATTGTATCTTCTACATTTACCAAGAGACAAAGAGTTGATAAATCCGCAAAAACTGGACCATTACAATTCGATACTCAATTTTACGTGACTTATTTTTAAATCTGAACTGGACATTTATGATGGATTACGGCGATACTACTTTGAGGCAAATGTTTAATAATCATTTCTATGTCATGAGTATAACAGATAAATTTCTGTGAACGGATAGCAAAATCCGAGTGGGAACGGAATTACCGGTATTTTTTATACTCGTAAGAAAGTGTTATTATTATTATTCTAAGCTAATACCTCAACCAATTCAAATATTCTGGAATGTCGTCGGATGATTTGGTTGTACAGAGAACCAAATATATTCAGAACCTGTGATTTAGACCTATTAACTTTTGGTAATCCATATAAAAGTGTCCAAGGACCGTGTGTGTTTACGCGAATCGAAAGTAACTAAGGCGTTGTCTTCAATGATTTTACTATTTATGTGCGTTTTTCCGAACCACATAAGATCAGGCAGAAGCTCCTTTATCAGGCTAGTTTAATAATAAATCAATGGATTCAGCACTTAAAGCTGTTTAGTTTGATTTATAATCATCATCGTATAATGAGTTGGTAAGTCTAAATGATCAGAGAGGATTCATTTTGATTAACCAATCTTTTTATATTGCAACGCATTGTTTGTTTACTAGTTTTATAACCATTCTTTAGCCGTATACACCCCATAAATGTTTGAAAACCATTCCCATTTATTTACAGTAAAATCCCTTACAGGTATTCATCTCGGCGTGCGAAATGCATTGAACAACTGACTTCTAAACACCTTACCGACAGATGTTTTAAAAGATGAAATAAATTAAACCGGTGCAGCCATTTGCAAAGTCAAAACTTCTTACCTGGAACGAGGAGACTTCAGATTGCATTATTTCATGTGCTTTACTTAACGGGACTTCGCACCTTTCTACGCAATGCTGCACTTCAGTAATAGAGGCATCAGGATCTTCACAGCACTTTAAACCACATTGAAAGTAATTTGCCTATATGTTATTGGTAAGTAACTTCTTGCTAACCTGTATTTTGCGGAGATAAGCAATATCCAGGTTACCTAATTCTTTTTCAATGGCTTTGTGGTAATCGGTTTGTAATTTGTTGATATCACGCTGAAGCTATAAAAGAAACATATCTTGAAAAAAGGAACTTTAAGGAATAAATTGATTAACATGGGCGACTAAGTTCGGTTATAAATAAACAAACCAAAATGTTTTTTGCTTGGAAGTACTAACATACTTCGCATGTGTAGTTTTAAAACAATGGCAGATCAAATAAAAAGTAAACTCAGTAAAGGTAACTGTAATTTTTGATTTGGAGATCAGAAGTAACATAATATCCTGTGCCACTTGATTATTCTTTGCTGATAGTGTAGGTTCACACTATTCAATAACTTGTCGTAAGTAATCAATCTACGTACTGTAGTAAACACTTAAGTTTCTTATAACTACTCAGTTTTGTGATGTCAATAAAGCGGCATAAGCAATTTCGGATTTATTAATTTATTATTTTTAATGATGTAAGTCCGTCCATGTAGTATGTCACTTGAGTTTCCAGCAAAAGTTATTTATACATTTTTAATGCATCTTTAATAGAGAGGAAACGATGACTGAACGAGCACTCACAAAAACAAGTGTGCTAGTTGCCGAGGACGAAATTTATAACAGTAATCACGTGCTACTCTACAATTTACACTTAACAGTAGCAATCAGAAAATTGAATAACATCTTATTACGATAAACATAGAAAGGGAAGAGAATCGGGAACGTATATAAATGAGTAAGATTGAAGGATACTATAGTAAAAGTTTTTCGGAGATCTACTCTAAATGTGCGGACCCCGTCTATCATTGAAAGATGATCAAAACAAGACAATATTATGAACAGATCAGCGAGAAACACTTAAATGCTTTTCTAAGAGGTAAAAAACGATGATATAGGAAAAGGGTTTTGGGGGCTATGTTTTCTGAATTCCACAACAAAAATATTCCATCACTAAACCTGTGAGAGTGCTTTTATGTCGGGACATACTTAACACAGATTTCAAGTAGTGGTTATTTGTACATAGGAACTCAATTACATGAGATACGACGAAAATTGACATTCTTTTTAAAATCCAGATAAATGGTTTCTTAAGTTCACGTGAAAACAGTAAGGATCAAGTAATGTTGTTTATAGAACGGAAATACATTTTTCACTCTATAGATATGATCCGTTTTAAAATGCTGAGTTTAGAGTTTATGGATAATAGTAAATTATTGGGGATATTGATAATCTGGTGTAAAGCAAGATATATGTCATATATATGAATTAAAATAGCAAAGGTGATGCAATTATGACCCGCAGAAACAATGAATAAACGAGAAACATAAGCACAGGTATGTAAATTTGAATCAGTGAGATAGAACCAATCAGTGAAGCTTAATAAAATATAGCTTAAGAAAAAAACTAGAACTTTGAGACTAAGTCAAAAGCAACATAAGCTAGTGCGTAATAACCGTGAATTTCGAATAATCGGGGGATTACGAAAATCTAATGTATTCAGTTCCCTAGATCACTTCCGGACTGAATCATAACAATACTACGGCAAATAACGACTGGAGACATTTGCATTTTATAAATAGAAAGAATGAAAGTTTTCGTCTGATCTGGAAGCATTCATAAAATGAATCCAAACAAGTCTGGAAGTAAAATACTATCACTAGTTGACCCTACTATGAATAGTAAAACTTTCAATAATTATTGTTCTGAAATCCACTTTTATCAATCCGATTGTACAGCTCAATTAACAGGCTACTTTGACATTCAATTTCATATAGCAATAGCTTTGTACCACTACAAACTTGAAATAGAAATGAACATGATACTTTCCAAATCCCTACATCAACTGAATATTTGGAATGAAAACTAA